CACACACACACACACACACACACACACACACACACACACACACACACACACACACACCAAAAGCTGAGCCAAAGGAAGTGGTCGCCTTGGCAACATGACATCTTGCTTGCTTAATGTAAAGCAAGCTATTTTAACTTACACACAAGAATACACACACAAAACATCCTATGTGTGTATGATAAAGTAAAATGAATCTGAATGTGGGGATTGATACCAAATACAGTACATGTAGTGAGTAGTGACACATATGCACATATAGAGACACATGTCACTATTTACAGTACATCACAGAGCACATGCTGGCTGTTCATATGTGTTAAGGTTATGCAGATATTTGCCTGTAAACCGGGACTTGTGGAAAGCAACACAAAAAGAGTTGTAGGTCGAGTTCGAGCTGACATTTGTAATTCTTACTCCTAAGATTTAATTAGTATCTCCATCTCTATAATGTGGCTAACTCTTTTAATTCTTCGGTATGTTAAGCATGGCATGCAATGAGGATGCTATCAAATGTCTCTGGCTTGATTCAGGCACCAGCTGCAGCTTCACAGTGCAGAGGCTGTTGGCAAAGCCCAGCATGTGGAGGAGAGGTTAAAGGATTTAGAGGTCAGGAGTGTGCGAATGTGTGTTTTGTATGTGGACGTGTTTGTGTTTATGTGGTTGAAGTTAAAGCACAGTGAACATAGACTTACAAGGTGCCAATTCAAGATCCAGTTTCTCTCAGTGGGATGTGGTAATAAATAGTGTGATCACACTGAATGATCTGGCTACCTTTTTGTCAAAATGTAAGGAGAGTGTTGCCGGCTGAATCCTGATTCTCATGTGGTTCTATTAGTTTCCTGTCTGCTCTAGATTCTAAACTGACATGCAAATAGGTTAAGTTTAATTAGCTCTCTGCATGTTGCTTTCATTATGCTTTATGAGACTCTTCACTTTGACATGCAATAATCATGATGATTTGGGAGCTCTATTACTTTATGTAGATACCAAGGTTTTTCTACAACACACAAATTGCTTTGACTCAATCTAGGGCACAATGTCATCGTTACAGCTTTTGCTTGGGCACCTTAACTTTTATTGCTGTGTTTTCTAATTGGGATAATATTTAAGAAGAGTACACTTTTCCATTGTTTCTTACTTTGTATACACATGACTATAAGGCAAGGCAAGGCAAGTTTATTTATATAGCACTTTTCAACACAAGGCAATTCAAAGTGCTTTACAAAAAATGAAAGCCAATAATAAAACGGCATTTAAAATCAGCCATTAAAAAGAAAAGTTAATAAAATAAACATTAAAAGAAAAAATACATGGATAAAAGTTACAGTGCAGTCTAAGATATGAATAGTTCAATTAAAAGCAGCGACAAAAATAAAAGTCTTCAGCCTGGATTTAAAAGTAGTCAGAGTTGCAGCAGACCTGCAGGTTTCTGGGAGTTTGTTCCAGATATTTGGAGCATAATAATTAAACGCTGCTTTACCATGTTTAGTTCTGACTCTGGGGACAGAAAGCTGACCCGTCCCTGAAGACCGAGAGATCTGGATGGTTCATAATTTAGCAGGAGGTCAGAAATGTATTTTGGGCCTAAACCATTCAAAGCTTTATAAACCAGCAGCAGTATTTTGAAATCTATTCTTTGACACAGAGGAAGCCAGTGTAAAGACTTCAGAACAGGAGTGATGTGATCCACTTTCTTAGTGTTAGTGAGGACTCGAGCAGCGGCGTTCTGAATCAGCTGCAGCTTTCTAATAGATTTTTTAGTGAGACCTGTGAAGACACCATTGCAGTAGTCCAGTCTACTGAAGATAAAAGCATGGACAAGTTTTTCAAAATCCTGCTGTGACATTAGTCTTTTAATCCTAGATATGTTCTTTAGGTGATAGTAAGCTGATTTAGTAACTGTTTTAATGTGACTGTTGAAACTCAGGTCAGAGTCCATGACTACACCTAGATTTCTGGCTTTATCTGTTGTTTTGAACATTGCAGACTGAAGCTCAGCGCTAACTTTTATACGTTCTGCCTTGGCTCCAAAAACCATTACCTCAGTTTTGTCTTTGTTTAATTGGAGAAAGTTCTGACACATCCAGTCATTGATTTGTTCAATGCACTTACTCAGTGTTTTAACTGGAGAATAGTCTCCTGGTGAAATTGTTACGTAAATGTGTGTGTCATCTGCAAAGCTATGGTAACTTATTTTGTTGTTCTTCATGATCTGAGCCAGTGGTAGCATGTAGACGTTAAAGAGAAGAGGCCCCAAGATGGAGCCTTGAGGTACCCCACATGTCATATTTGTCAACTCAGATGTGTAGTTACCTATAGAAACGAGGTTGTTTCTGTCCTTTAAGTAGTATAATGCCTGATACAGTAGTGTTTAATCTCATATCATTTCATTCATACACACTCACTCACCTTGGTGCTGTCCTGGCACTGGAAGACATAGCAGGAGTAGTTTGGTGCGTCTCGGACCAGGCAGCCGAAGCTGCTGGGCTCCTGGCTGTTGTGAATCAGCTTGGTCACTTGGTGAGGACGACATTCAAACAGCACTGTGTGAGTCAGAGGGTCCCAGACAACTCCCTCTCCCAGAACAGACACACATCGCACCCGCAATGCTGACACACACAGGAAAACTGTCTGATTACGGGTAGAAGGGTCCACCTGTCGCCCAGACCGCAACCCAGCACCCACATTCCTCTCCGCAGGCCGACACTTGCTGATCTCAGCCACCACCCAGGGCAGCATGGCCATGGTGGTCAGATGGTGGACCGGCAGAGAACCGATCAAAATCAGTTTGTATCGTATCTCCTCATCTTCCTCCTCCTCTCCTTCTTCCTCCTCCTCTACCTTTTCCCCATGTGGTGAAATCCTTTTTCTTGTAGAAGAGAGCTTGCGCGGACACAGTGTGGAAGGGTTGCGATGTGAAAGTGATGGACATGAGCGGTGGTTTGAGGTCAGGTTAGGAGGGGGGTTTTCAGAGCTTAGAGGGCTAGAGGGTTCATCTCTTCTGGGCTTCACTTCAAAGTAGAGCCCCTCCATGGCTGGTGGGGCCAGATGCAGCCGTCTGCCTCCGCTTTTAGCTGCAAAAATTCAGTCAGAGGACAGAGACTTTTAAAGAAGAACATTTACTGTGTTCCACTTTGCCATTTGTGTAGAATCTGGACACTGTTAATCATCTGAGTCCTGCATAGTAATCACAGGGTCATTTGGAGGGTACTAAACATGGACCACCTGGTGTTGTTTACCGAACCCAAAACACATGACTACTGACCTACACTTGTTACAGTCTCAAGGACACACAGACAAACACAGGACAGCTAAACTATAAGGATCATACTTGGCAAGTGTTGAGAGAAAAGCGGGTAGCTCATTTCTCCTGCCCCACACCATTAACATACGTAAACGACATTAAAATCACTTTTATAGCTATTACCGTAAGAATAAGTATACATACACTGTGATAATGTGTAACGTGTAAGTAACTACGTCAACATTGATAGCGGGGCATGATGGAAATGCTTTAAAAACAGATAAGCCAGCTATGAAATGAAACGTTCCCGTGAAGTTAATGGAGAAAGAAAAGGAAGACGTCCAATACGTACCTCATATTTGACCTTGCAACATAAATCATTTCTTAATTTAAATAAAATGAGGCAGTGCAGCTGCCATATAGGTCGGTCTGCAGTAGAGGAACAACGGAAGTTAGAATGAGGTCTTATTTCCGAGGAGCGCAGCCCCACTTGCCTTCTTTTACTGGTGATTGTAATTTTACGCACGCGGCAAGTTATAGGCTATTTACGCACGAGGTTGCGCACACACTAAATCTACCACGGTTTATGTACGTTTTTCCCGATTTTGATCGATAGACCATCTTCTGGCTGATATTCTCATGCCGGTTCAGTCTTACCTGTTCACTGAAGTCTTGCCCGGTGAATGTCAGAGTCTACTAACATACACAGAAATAAAGAGCGAGGGAGAGCTTCACGGAGCACCAGCAGTCTGTAGTTTGAGTTAAATATAGAGACAGGGCAGACCCGACCTCCCTCCTCTCTGTTCTCAGATGGGACATGACCAGTGCGTGCTGCATGCATGCTCTCCACAGGATGCAGGGGCAATGTGTCCGCACGTGGTGTTGGTGCTTTACCTTCGACATTTCACTCCAGATGCACCGTTGGCAAGCGTTTTTATTGAGTTTAACTGTATTTTCAGCAAAGCATTTGAAATAGGAGGCACATAAGGAAAGGTGAGGTGCTAATTCGACAATTCTATAGTCAACATCTATGAAATACTATAGGGAAAAGGGTCTTAATTGTAGATTTAATATGTTGTGTCAAGAGACAGAGTCCCTTTGAGTATTAACTATTCATATAAAGTAATGCGCAGTGGGAGCATGTGAACAAAACATGTACAATATTTCCACTTGGTGGTGCTATAAGCTTTTAGGCTTGGTCATTTTACATATCAGCAACTCTGGAATGACAGCTTCAAACTTAAAAATATATGTAACTGTAACTCTCAATGCCATATTGTTATGTAAGATATGACGCATTCAAAGTTTAGCAACAATTTACAACATCAATTAAAGGTATAGCTAGTTTTAAAGTTACAGTATAAGTTTCAGAATTTCTCTTTAACATTTGCACACTTATGTAACTCTTCATGTTAGCAACCTTGCAGTTGATGCTGAAAAAGCATCGGATGCATGTTTGTTAAATACAAGAGAATATACAGCATGTGTGTGAACCCTAAATATCACAGTGAAACAGCATGACTGAGGAAGGGGGAACATTGTAAAGATGTGCTTCCAAATCTCAAGCGTGAGGTAAACTCAATACAAACCATGTAACTTTTTAGATGTAAAACTGTCTCTGGATTTATCCCTACACCCAAACATTTGGCATTTAACCTGTAGATTAGATTAAGACTAACTGGCAGAAATGTATAAAACTGTCAATAAAGTAATGTCAAGCCTGTATTAAATCAAAAGTCCCTTCTAGAGTAATTCAGACACTCTGTGAAATGCTAGGACATATTAGTTACAGTTGGTTCTGTAAAGTAATGTTTGTCTATCAGTGTTACTCAGGCTTGGGCTGCAGCTTATTCTTCTCTGGCTCAAAGAAGTTTTCAACAATAGCGTCAACCAATTCATCCAGCTCCTTCTTCAGGTGCGTCACATCACTGTTGAGAGAGTCACAGGGGGAACAAAACATGACAATGAAGTGACTGGGTTGCCATTTAAATGTTAGACATTTAGAAGTGAAACAATTTGTCAATTTATAGAAAAGTGCCAACTGTTTTTTATAATCTATTGATTGTTTAACTCACGAAAGGTGAGGATATGCTGCTTTTAAAATGTTTATATCATTTGTATTTGATATCTTTGAGATGGACTAAACAATATTCACTATTTTGGGTTTTACCTTAGGATATTGTAAACTTACTTTTTTCTGTCATTTTACATTATAAATGATTAAAAGATAATCAAAATAATCAGTAGTCATAAAGCCACCCGCTGGCCAGGAGCCTCATTTATAAAGCCTTGCGTAGGATTCACGTGGGAAGGCTGCTTACGTAGGACAAAGCAAATAAATATGCACAGACATTTTCCGATTTATAAAACACTGCGCACGCACGTCCTACGCCGGTTTCCCTTTATAAATCACAATCAACTCGAAATGCGGCGCAGCTTTTGACTTTCATTTTTGACTGACTGCATGAAGAAGATCACAGGAAATGATGACAGAACAGCTAAAAAAGACATTTTACACCGTGTCAGATATTGGTTCTTTTGGGGAGGTGGAGACAAATCACATTGTTTGGTGGATGCAGTTTGAACCAGAGTAGCAGCATGGAGGTCGGATCGTTTCCATACCTCCTGTGTTTTATGAGCGAATTATCAAGTCTTAGCAAACGGCATAAAACATGATAGGATATAAAACCATGCTCGTATCTATACAACCTATAGAAAAGCAAAACGGCCTCAGTTTGGACCTAATTCTGTCCTTCTGCTTACCGCATCAATTATGAGAATACATGTCATAACATTAAGACAACATATTCGAGGTGGTTTTCAATAACCTTTCCGTATTTATTTATTTCTCCAAGTTATGTTTTTGTGCGCACTGAGGAGTCGCAAACAGGCGTTTGTTTAATCATTTTATAATTGGCTTTAATACATTTTTGCAAATTAATTATTCGTATATGATACATGAGGTAACATTTTATTTATGGTATTATTTCCACATATTTCTTTCCAACGGTGTCGCAATTTCTCGTCTCTCCCGTTTTTGTGCGTACCGCGTACGGATGGGTCAGAGTTTGCGTGGAGGACCGCACGTTTTCCCGTCAAGTTAGTATTTTATAAATCGCAAACATTGCGTAGAAACTGCCGTACGCCATTTTTTGAGCGTATATCCCTTTATAAATGAGACCCCAGGTCTCTGCAGTCCTCTACCTGTTTCCAGGAGCCGCACACAGTTCAGTATAGTATTTGATTTTCGGCTCCGTGCCGCTGGTCCTCATGGTGGCTACACCCCCATTGGCGAAGCTGAAGGTAATCATCTGACTGGACCTGGAGGTGGGAAGAACCTAAGAAAGAGAAAAGAGTGATGGATTAATAAAAAAGAAAACAAAATACAAAAAGGGAAGTTCTGTTCCAATGGACAACTTGAAGGAAATTATTCATATACAAACACATTTGCATAAAATACAGAAATGGAGTTCACATATTCAGTTTCTCATAGGATGCTGAAACCTTAAAAGCCCCTCAACAACAAGCAAACAGTCACTTATTTATGGTAAATTAACATTATACATTTAGGAGATAAAAACGATTTGCAAGGTTGCAGGAACCCTAACACAAAGCACACAGCAAGGGGCCAACACTGCAGAGTGAAGCATTGTGGCTCCTTAGGTATGACATTATAACTTTAGTGAGTAGTCAAGTTTAATAAAAATACACACCTTTTTCTAAATATAACGACGCCTGCACCATCATTATTTCCATTTTCAAACCCACAGTAGCACTAATAAGCCGTTGTTTATTTCCATATCCAGCAGATAGAAACATTATCACAAGTCGTGACTCTAACTAACTAACTTTTCCATATTTATGGCTGCAAATATTGGTCAATATTATCATTGGTACATAAACATTTGGCATGTATCAAAGCAAGGATTTGTCCCCTCTAAATTAATTACTGTACATGTGTCCATGTGTATACTTACAGCCTTGTTGCTAGGCTGGTTGCTGTCGTAGCCAGTGGTCAGGTCCCGTACAGCAGAAATAGCGAAGCGGCCACATTCAGTGGGATAAGAGTCTTTCTGGCCACTGTGGGTGCGCAGGCGCTCAAACAAGCTGCGGATCACATCCTGGTCATGGCAGATGAAATAGGAGTTCTTACTGATGTGGTAGCCGTACCTGACAATGAGGAGGAGAGAGAGTCAGAGTGTAAGTCTACAGCTGAAGTCTATATATTTTAATGATAAAAAGTCCAAGCCATATGAGTTTACTGTATGTTGTCTTACTCTTCATAGATGTTAGTGACTTGTTGAGAAAGGCTTGAGCTTTTCGTGGCCAGATAGGAAATCATCTCTCCTGCTATGGCTGCAGCACTCACTCCATCCTTGTCCAAAACAGAGGGACTACACATATACCCTGCAACACACACACAGTTCACTCTTGGTATGCGTCGCCTCCAGCTGTTGCTTTTGATTAACTGTGTGTGCAAAGGTATGCGATTTCAATTACAGCACCAGAAGCATTTTATATGAAAATGCTCCAAAGTATGTGATGTTGTAATTGTGAGTTTATATGAACATTTGTCATATCCTTAAACAACGTTTAAAACAGTGCATGGTGATTGACCGCTAACTAACTAAGACCAAAGTCCATGTCTGATATTTTTCTTTCTCCAACTTCAATGATTGATTTATTCGCTTAACAAGTAACTATACTTTACAACATTGTAAATGCTCTTGAGTAACCATTTATCAGACAGCTGGCCACAGAGGAAGTGCTTGAAGAAGTTAAGTGTTAAGCTGTCAGGTATTATGAGATGTATTGTTAGAGTAGTTAATACAACTTTATTGTAAAAGGTTAAGGATGGGAAAATGAAAGATTTTATGTTATAGTTTTATTTAAGTTTAGTTTAGTCTAAGAGTTGATTACTGTAGCAGTGTGTCTGTGTAGACACATTTATCATGACACAGTGAGACCAAAGCATGCTTTGTTGGCAGCCATCTAAAGGCAGATTGTTGAGGAAACTACATTTAAGTTTTTACACTGTATTATTTTGCTTTTACTTTTATATGTACTCTTCTTGGCTAGTTTTTATCATTGACCAAGGTTTCTGCAAAAGGATTTTGTTAAGACTCTAATTGTGCTTGCCCACCAACTGACCCTAGATACATTTACATCAGATGAATCCTCTTAGCATGACATTGTGTAGATCATTAGAAGAAAAAATTATGTGATGCAACCCCAAAATTAATCAGATATGCTGTCATTAATTAATGTGTGTGTGTGTGTGTGTGTGTGTGTGTGTGTGTGTGTGTGTGTGTGTACCTATGGCCTCTTCAAAGGCAAACACCACAGTCTTGCCCTGGTCCAAAAGGTCTCTGGCTCTGTTTCCCATCCATTTGAACCCTGTAAGAGTTTCCTGTGCAAATAGTGGGGACAGTAAGCATCAAGTCTAGTTCGAAAAAGTTCAGAAATGTGAAATGGTGAAGTCTATGAGTGCATTTTACTGTATAATTAATTATGTCTTAGCCACATTTTACTCACAATGTTCTCTTAATGTATTATTGCTAACGTTTTCTAAGATCAATCATTACAAGATGACACATACTGGGAAAATGCAATTAAGGTTGCCTTTTTGTACCAGTAAGCACAACAACTTTTGGATGCATGAGGACATTAACGTCAGATCTGCGCTTTAAAAAAAACAAACATTTGGCACAGTATGTTTTTGCTTTCGAGTTTCGCATGTATTAAAGATTTTAACCAAGAAGTTGACTAGGGTTACCTCAAAGTGGAAGCCTTCCTTGAGGGCGATGGCGCGCAGTATCTTGGATGAGACGGTGCTCGCCA